ATCTATCTATCTTCGTATCTAGCTATCTCCCGTTCTGTATCTATCCATCCATCCATCTTTCGTATCTTGCTATCTCTGTTCGCATCTATCTATCTATCTATGCATCTAGCTATCTCTGTTCGTATCTATCCATTCATCTATTTATCTAGCCAGCTAGCTAGCCATCTCTGTTCGTATCTATCCATCCATCCATCTATCCATCTATCTCTGTTCGTATCTATATCTATCTATCTATCTATCTATCTATCTATCCATCTATCTATCTATCTATCTCTGTTCGTATCTATCTATCTATCTATCTATCTATCTATCTATCTATCTATCTATGTATCTAGCTATCTCTGTTCGTATCTAGCTATATCTGTTCGTATCTATCTATCTATCTATCTTCGTATCTAGCTATCTCTGTTCGTATCTATCTATCTATCTTCGTATCTATCTATCTATCTATCTTCGTATCTAGCTATCTCTGTTCGTATCTAGCTATCTCTGTTCGTATCTATCTATCTATCTTCGTATCTAGCTATCTCTGTTCGTATCTATCTATCTATCTTCGTATCTATCTATCTATCTTCGTATCAAGCTAACTCTGTTCGTATCTAGCTATCTCTGTTCGTATCTATCTATCTATCTATCTATCTTCGTATCTAGCTATCTCTGTTCGTATCTATCTATCTATCTTCGTATCTATCTATCTATCTTCGTATCTAGCTATCTCTGTTCTTATCTAGCTATCTCTGTTCGTATCTATCTATCTATCTATCTATCTATCTATCTATCTATCTATCTATCTTCGTATCTAGTATCTCTGTTCGTATCTATCTATCTTCGTATCTAGCTATCTCTGTTCGTATCTATCTATCTATCTATCTATCTATCTATCTATCTATGTATCTAGCTATCTCTGTTCGTATCTATCTATCTATCTATCTATCTATCTATCTATCTATGTATCTAGCTATCTCTGTTCGTATCTATCTATCTATCTATCTATCTTCGTATCTAGCTATCTCTGTTCGTATCTATCTATCTATCTATCTATCTATCTTCGTATCTAGCTATCTCTGTTCGTATCTATCTATCTATCTATCTATCTATCTATCTATCTATCTATCTTCGTATCTAGCTATCTCTGTTCGTATCTATCTATCTATCTATCTATCTATCTATGTATCTAGCTATCTCTGTTCGTATCTATCTATCTATCTATCTATCTATCTATCTATCTATCTATCTATCTCTGTTCGTATCTATCTATCTATCTCTCTATCTATCTATCTTCGTATCTAGCTATCTCTGTTCGTATCTATCTATCTATCTATCTATCTATCTTCGTATCTAGCTATCTCTGTTCGTATCTATCTATCTATCTATCTTCGCATCTAGCTATCTCTGTTCATATCTATCTATCTATCTATCAATCTATCTATCTCTGTTCGTATCTATCTATCTATCTATCTATCTATCTATCTATCTATCTTCGTATCTAGCTATCTCTGTTCGTATCTAGCTATCTCTGTTCGTATCTATCTATCTATCTATCTATCTATCTATCTCTGTTCGTATCTATCTATCTATCTATCTATCTATCTATCTATCTATCTATCTATCTATCAATCTATCTATCTATAGCTAGTTAACTATCTGACAGCCTTATTCTTTCAGTAAGTATTGCCTTGATTTACAATATATTTTTATAGCTGTAAAATCATTTGCAGAGTATTTCGATAATAAAATTGCTTTAGTTTAGTAAAAAAATAAAAAATAATCAACAATGCGTTTGAATTACATATATGTAGCTATATTTTGTCAGTAATATGAATATAAATTCCTTACAATTGGCAAACATTTTCCTCTTTTGCTTTACACAATATATAACAGGATCATTTTCGTTCATAGCCTTGTGAACAAACTTCAGCGGTTGTTTTGAGTCGAAGGTGTGACACCATGACCAAGAAAAACAATCACCAAAAATAGGATATTACAAATTCATCTGTTATGCGGAGTCGATAAAATATCTTCATATAGGCAACTCTCAGAAGTTTCTGTTTTGCACGATAACAAAAGATAGATAAATTTTTTTAAAATCAACTGTTTTTATCTTTTTTCGATATAAAATATGTCAAATCTTTTCTCTGCAATGTCTACTATTTCTATGTATAGAGTCATCTGTCTTTCAGTGACGACGCCAAGTGGCAGTATCTTCCTTACGACAATGGTGTATTCGTCTAAGAATTTTACGAAATTAAGAGATAAAAACAACTTTGTGAAAGAGCAGAATACAGAAGAGAATATTATAATTGCATTAGACCCTGAACTTACACCTATCATGATGGATGGTACTTCTATCAATGGGGATCTTTACCTTGAATGTCTATTGTGACTCAAACTCTCATTAGACTCCAAATAGAACTCATATATCCGATATATTGCTAAAGATGCTGGAAAAATGGTTGTTTCATTGTACCCCTCCCGTAAGTGTCGAACTGCCCCCACCCCTATTATATTCTATCTTTACAAGAGCCAGATCAGACCAAAAACAGAACATTCCTGCCATACCTGGAATGGAGCTGCCCAGTCCTCACTTTCCTGTCTTTATAGTGTTCAAATATATCTACGCGGCCTTGTGAGTGATGAATTATTCTCCTCCAACCCCGACCCTCTGAGCTTACTATTGTATTTAGCGTAGATCTGACTTTTAATTGGTTAATCAAGACATACCTACAAGTCTGTATTTAATTCTGACCTTATGTTCCCCGCCTCTTAACCTTCGGAAAAGAGGTAACACTTTGTTTTTAAATTTTCTTAAAAATAAGCATTTAAACCATTATTAGTTATTTACCATCGCCTGAAGAAGTACAATCAAAGTATTGAAACATGAAAGCTTTTGTGCAACGATTTCAACATGTTTTTATTATAATCTCTTAAAATAATAATATATTGCTGTACTTTGTATTGAGCACTTTTTAAAAAGTAAATGCTACGAACAGGGGAATTTTACCCCATGTGTTCTTTCTCTCATTTGTGTGTGTATATATATATATATATATATATATATATATATATATATATATATATAATGCCGCCATTTTGGAAGGCATATGTAGGCTAGTTCCTATGCTCTCTATATCTGTTCACATGCTAAATACCCTATGGAAATTTTGCTATTTATTTACACCCAATATAAGATTTTAGCATTTGCTGTGTTTTTATGTATTAGAAAGGACGACAGTTTTGAAATATCTATGTCATATTTCTACTAGTATTATTAAAGATTGGATACGCATCGCCGGGCTTCGAAAATAAAGTTTTAATACAGAAAATCATTAGTAACATAACGTTCTACTGTTTCTTTTCTTAACAAAATATATGAAATCTTTCAAATGTTTTTTTTTCTTTTACTTGTAGTGCTGAATTTTATTTTAGCATTTTGTCCCAGTAATTTATGTTAGAATATGCTGTAAGTCATCTGAAAATATGCTGGCCCATGGGAATGAGCCAAATGTTGTCAATGTCAATGATTTTGTTGAGTTTACATCAGATAAAAACAAATACAGCGTTATATCGCTACTTAGTTGACTAAAAAAATACATGATTAGCTTTTAAACACTTTCCAGTTTTAGTCTCTGCACATTCTAGCATGGCGACTACTAAATCTATATATAAAATTCTGTGACTTCCGTCCTTTCGTCTGTCCGTCACACTTCTAAAATTCACCGATCGAAACCAAATTTGGTAAGTGAGTACAAAGTACAGTTGGTTTTACTCGGGTGCATAGCTTAGTACAATAAATTTTCATTAACTGTTTTGAAAAATTAAAAGATTTATTATTTGACATACAAAATAAGTTCACCACGTCATCATTGTTCTTTCTCCCAATAGTACACCGCGAACGTCAGTCACCTCCACCCAACACACACCTTTCAACAAAGTGAGATTGACCTTCGTTAAGCATTTAAGTCACTTTTATTTTACTTAACTGGTTGCAGTTTCAGCAATATAATTAACAAAGCCAAACGCTTCAAAAAGTTGGAATTTGGCTTCAGAAAATTTTTTTTTATTTATGTAGCCAATTGTATGCTGCATGCTCAAGAGTAAGAAATCGTAAGAACTTATTTATTTATTTACCTCTGCTGTCAACAATGGCAGTATAGTGTCGTTTGTAGCCATCAGAAAATGTATGTGTGTGGTTACTTGTAGTGGGACAATGTATGTGTGTGTTTGGTAAGGGAGTCAAAACTCAAAGTGATTATGAGAAGTAAAAAAGAAACAATTTGCTTCACTTGCCAATTTATACAACTCTCAGAAATTATTTTTAAAATATTGTTATAATACTTTATAAAAAATAAAATAAAATAAAATCCCACTAAACCAATTTACAAAAAAATTAGAATCGCCAATCTGCTCTTTTTTTTTCTTTATTTTTTAAATCAATTCACCCCAAGCATGGCGATAATTCCACTAAAACGTAAGGAACTAATAGAAGTGAAAGAAAAGGAAAATACTTTAGAAGGGACCGGAAACCAAATCCTAAACAGAAAACAAGGGATAAACCTCTACTCCTGTTCAAAAGACCGTAGAGGTGTATGAACTGGACGATAAGTAAATCTATCTAAGCCCTGTCGTTTAACCTACCGACTTCATATACATCGTGGAAGATTTCATCATTTTTATAAGACTACCATTAGAGAAATTGCTCTAGTATTGCGGAGTTTTCAATTTAAATCGGATCAAATTGAGCGAGAGATTTTCTTTAGAAGAAATGTTTTTGATGAATATTTTGATACAAAAAACAACTTTCTCTTGAGTGTTCAATCAGTATTTTCTCACTATTCTCACTTTAGGCGCGAACAAATGAATTTATCCCTGCTATTGAAAGATTTAATATCTGTTTAAAAATATGAGATATGAAACAGAATATTCGGTTCTATTATGCAACTAATATTTGTAAAACTTTCAGGACATATTTAAATTAGGAATATGTTGTGTGTGCTTCAGTTTATAATATCTATCCCTTATTAAAAGTATTGTGACGTACGGTGGCCGTTAATAATTAAGTATAATTCAAAACTTCAATGTTAAGATAAAACAGTATTTAATTACAACCGCAAATAAATACTTAACAATAACAAAGAAGTAAAAGTCAACCAAAAATAATTAATCATTTCAGTGAATACCTTGTTAGTAGCGCGGCTCGACTTAACGTCCAGTAAATCCTAAATCAAAACTCAAATCATCGACGCACAGTAATTCACACTAATTCGACTGGATAGTTCCACTCAATAGTCACTCAATAATCATTCCAGTCAGTAGCCTGACACCTCTATTCATACCCCTGGTGGAAAACATATTCGTAAGTCTAGAGTGTCACTCTTGAACCTCGGTAGTTACTCATTCTCTTCCTATATGGCAAAAAAATTAATAAGTTTTGGCGGGGTCAGATCTTATTGGGCAAAATGTTTCTTTGTAAGAACTCACATCAGTTCCCTTCATTTATCTTGATAATATCACCAAATTTGAAGGGAACTATAATCATACTGCTAAAATACCAACCCAAAAGAATTTATGACGGAATGTTCGAAGTGTGGAATTAACCAATATTATATGTCTTATTATTCGAACCTGTATGCTCATCTTAGTTGTTATACTCACAACGTTTCGACTATTGTACTCTTTGGTCTTCATCAGGTAGCTGTTTTCATACTCTAGCCTTTTTTTTTTTTAAACCGAACCCTTGGATTGTTATAATTTCGCTTTCCATGCATAGGGGAGATAACTCATATCATTTAATACTACTCCAGTCTTATTCACCTCGCCGACAGAATATGGGAATTTCAGCATTACCAGACCTAGGGATTGAACTCAGAATAAATGTTTCCGGTGGCTAAAATAAACATTTTTACTTCACATGTTCTTTTCTCTCATTTGTATATATATATATATATATATATATATATATATATATATATATATATATATATAACCGTCATATACGCTGACGTGCCTTGACCGCTCGGCCACAAAGAACCTTACGGTAGACAAGGTCGAATTTACTGTTTATAAACTTCAATCTTCCATGAATCTCGTACATTCATAACTGCTCTGGCGTATCGAATGTAAACAAATGACGTCATATGTTAAGAAATGGACAAGGTCCGACAATTTATTTATTAAAGACATTTTTATGTTTAACGTTGTTATTTTATAGATACAAGTATTTAAGCAAATGCTCTGTTTATGATAAACAGTATTAAATAACATTTACCGGCCTGAATGTCCGAGAAATTTTCATAGAAAATATTCCTGTCAAAAGAACATATATATATATAGAAAATATTATATATATATTTCATAGAAATAAAAAAACAAATAAAATACATATATATATTTCATAGAAAATATTCCTGTCAAAGAACATATATATATATGTATAATGTCGCCATTTTAGACGGCATAGGTAGACTAGTTTCTATGCCCTCTATATCTATTCATATTACCCTATGGAAATTTTGGAATTTATTTACTCCCAATATAAGATTTTAGTATTTTCTGTGTCTTTATGCATTAGAGAGGGCGACAGTTTTGAAATATCTGTGTCATATTTCTACCAGTATTATTACAGATTGGGTCCGGATCATTGGGGTTCGATAATAAAGTTTTAATACAGAAAATCATTAGTAACAGAACGAAAGTCCTACTCTTCCTTTTCTTAACAAAATATATTAAATCTTTACACAGAAGGCTGTTTGAATTGATATACGTTCCAACTCACTAGGACTGACTGACGTGACTAGCACGCTAACAACTGCACTGTAATGCACGTTTTAATGACATATAGAGATGATACTGAATGAGTTCATTTTCCAAAGAATAGGAATGCATTTCCTGAAAGCACATCGCAATATTCCCGCGCTGAAAACGTCAATTCGTGACATGAAATCAACTTCCACTTAGTTTTAAACAAGATTTACTGAAAAATCGAATTATGATTTTCTTTTGCATTATTCAAAGACGAGCATGAGAACACGGATATTTTATAATGGAAATCAAGTATTTTGTCAATTTTTCTTTCAAGAAATCATTAATTAGATTTTTTTATATTACGTCACGTGTTACTCCCACCCATCATTCTGAAACCCTAAAAATCAATACATAGGCACATATATAGCTATCTCTTGACTTTTAAATTCTTTCCGTCCAAATGACCGACGGAGGTCGAAAGTATAATAATGTTAGGCTGCTCGTTTCCGATTACATCCATATGCCTGAGTGTTTAGCTAATCCCTGTTGCAGACACCTGTTCAGGCACATTTGTGTTTCTTCAACGCCCACATAGCAACTTCAATTTCTGGAAGAGTGACGTGATCAGTAGTTGATCAACTCTCGGGCATGATGACTTGTGTTTTTGTGCTAGTAAAACCACCGACGGCTTCGTCTACATAATTTCACTCACATGACATGGTATGGTTTTCCTAGATCGTTATTTGAAAAATCGACCATGGTGAGATTCAAACCCGTGTCTAATGGTCGGAACGCTAACGTCTTAACCACTAGACCATACCCCAATTTGCTCGAAGTTTCTCAGAATATTACATAGAATTTTCAAGTTACAAGTTTCCACGCGACATGAATAAGCTTCTTCAGTAATCACCAAAAGGCTTAATAAGTCTATTTCGTCTAATAAAATGATTGCTGAATGAATATAATACAATGTATATGCACACAATATATCGACGGCAGAGCGCTGAAAAATTCTCGACCGGACCGAGAAAGAATCTCTTTCTGCAAATTTTGATAGTTTGTCATTTGGTCAGATTGTAGAAGTGCATCAATACAAGAACTTTTCAAGATCCTTCGTAAACAATGAAATCAGAATAATTTTCGAAAAATTCCAATTTGTATCTCATACCTCAAGATCATGTCATATATGGACGGAATTATAACTATCTTTGAGACTTACCGTCATATCACGTTGAAACACCGGTTCCCATACGAGCACTGAAATTAAGCAACGTTGAGCCTGGTCAGTACCTAGATGGGTGACCTTTTCGGAATATCAAGTGTTGTAAGCTTGGATGTGCGGATGGTGTAATGGATAATAGCGTTGAATTATTAATCGGAGAGCCGAGTTCCAGTTTCCGTTGGGTTGGTTATATTTGTTTACGTGCAAATACCTTTTGGAAAGTTATAACTCCACCTCTTCTCCCCTTAGCTATGGGTTAATTAGCAAGACTTGTATCACTAAAGTATTATTATCTCAAAAATATCTTACAATCTAAAATATTTTCTGTCTTTAAATAACCTGCAGAAGGTTATTAACCGTAGAAAACGAATCAATCAATCAATTAACCATCTTTCTCACAAAAATTTTCTTCGGCGAGTAGAGTTCTCATTTGGTAGTGACGTTGCCGCCTCTTTGTCATGATTTTTCTATAGAATATCGTTTATTTCATTTCCACTTAGCAGTGCACTTAAGTAGTCTGCAGGGCTTCCAGGTAAATTAATTTATTATTAACTTTTAATTAGTTATTTTATATTTGCGTTCCTTTTATCGCATCCTATTTTATTAGCTCGGTGTGAATTGGAAAGAGATGTCCGTAAAAATTCTGTTCGATCACGCGGTTAACGTTCCTGAAGTAGCGCTTTGTACTTAAAGCGGTATTCAAAACAATACGAGGGTAAAAGTTAAAACAATCCATACTTCGAACACAGCATCCATTAAATAATGCACACAAATACCTGTACCTGGTATTCCCAAGCGTTCACCCATTTAGGTACTGACGTTGCTTAACTTCGGTGATCGAGAAGGGGTACCGGTGTTTCTATGGGATGTGGCCGTAACTCCTTTTACCGAGGAGACATTGCAATAAAGAGAAATTCTGAATTCAGGCAATAACTATTCTTTATTTTATATCTTTAGCATTCCAGATACACAGGTTGCCATAAGTGGGAACATTTAAAGAAACACACATTGACAATTAGCAACAGTTAATAAAAAAGAAAAATGAACTCTAAACTTGTTTCTGTCTTTTGAAAGAAATTTTTTTTCTTGATTCAAAAATGCTGCAAATGTTAGAAAGAAAGAATAAAATTATTTCGTAATGCGAAATATTCAATGCAATTCCCACGTAATTAGAAAAGAAAACGGTAGCTTTTCTCACCATTTATAAAGATGAGTATTTTCTTTCGGTTCGTAAATCGATTAATTTAGAAACATCGACTGAACAGTTTAATCAATAGTTAAACGCCTGATTGCCAGACACGCAACCTTAAATTAAGCCTTTTATTTCATTCCTTTTGTTTTGATTATTATTGTGTTTGATTGATTACCCATGACAATGACAAGGACCAAAGAAGGAATAAGGACATTCTGCAGCTGTGTGGAAATCGAGAACGTGAATCGATTAGAATGCCTAAATAAAGATTTTCTTATTTGTTTTTATTTTTTCTGTTAGTAGATTCAAGAATATGTAGAGGTGTTTGCAATAACACCTTCAATCACGCATGGCCATCTACATTAGCATATAAATAGATATGTACACGGATATATCATTTGGAAATATGAACACATGTTTTGTGTGTTTAAGAAACATTATGCGTAACACTAACATCTCAAAAGCTACACGTCAGTTATAAGTGAACTTTATACTTTTAGAATATTTTACTCATTAATTTTTGTTTAGTCTGAACTAAGCTTAGAGGAGCTTGTGAGAATCAAATTTATCTCTGAGCCTCATTTCAGAACGGCAGTGAAGAGTGTGAATCACTTTCTAATTCTTTCTTTATTTCCTTTTTAAGCTTTAATTCCTTAACTCTCTCTCTCTCTCTTTCTGTTTTCTTTTCCTTCTATCTTTTCTAGACTTTGTAATTTGTTGCCACTCTTCTTATTTGACTTCTTTTTCTTTGACTTCTTCACCCTATCGTTTAGCCAGCGGTCATTAGCTTTAGACCTATGCTTGTAGGTTGGAGGGTGGAAATGGTTTACATGTGTTAATTTGGCTAACACATAAACCAAATGTGTTATTCAAATTTTTATAACGTGGTTCGCTTGGGATCGTTCTGGCTTGAGTGGGAACTTGGGAATATGTCGATCTCAATTGTGGGATTTTAAACCATTTTTCTAATAACCTGTTTTTTCATGTTATAAAAAAGAATCTTCCTTTCTTCTGCCATAATGACAAGATATTCCATTGAAGAATTACAATGAAGATTTTTTACAGGAAAATGTTTTTCTACAATTGAAACACTACAGCTTTTTTGTAATTTGTGTGTACGAATCATGGTGAATTTTTTTTTATATGGACAGGGCAACCATCTTGAACAACAACTGCTAAACGAAATGCAATTCAAAGAAGGGCTTTACGACTACATTGAAATCCGATCCAATTGCATGGAAGCCTGAAGTTAATCTGTTCAAATGTGTGTCTTGAATTTATTGAGAATCAGTGGAAAGATTCACAATCCACACTCCCAGACACATAAAAGTTAAATTCCTTCGAGGAAACCTTATGGTAACAACAAAGGTGAGGACAGTTGTCCGAATATAATCAATGTAAGTATTCATATCTCCTCATCCCCAAAATTCAGACAAAAATTTAAATATCTTCTATTTTTTTGATCATGAACATGTTTCCTGTGCAGAAGTTTCTGGGAATAGATGATCAGATAACAAATCGATGAATGGGATCTTTTCGATTATTAATTTCGATCTTGATTTTCTTCCCCCAAGCAATTTAGATTTTTGCGCCACAGATCTGTAAGGGTAAACAATATGCCATTATTAATTCTGGATAATATTTAATTTCCCCTTAAATTTTTAGTTGTTTTTTTATCGTAACTTTACTCGGGCCGTCGATCTATGACAGCGAGTGCACATTGTGGATAGAAAATATAGGAAATGTTTAATTTCATTTTGCCCCAGGAAAAACAAATTGAATACGCCAGCTGCTTTACAGGCTAAGCTACATGAACTTAACCGATTTGCAGAAGAAAAAAAAAAATTAAAATGAATCTGCACATATGCTAGGCTCAGTAGGACTAGTATAGAAATGAATGCAATATGAGTGCCATTAATAAAGAAAGAAAAGGAAATTATAGCAAGGCTTCAACAGAGGCAGTAAGTAAAGAGAAGCCTCTGTGGATGTGTGACTAGTAGCAATAGTAGTGTCCCCAGCTTCAAATTCTAGACTCTGGATTGTCCCACGGAACGATAACCTAATGGATTTATAATATTGCTTCGTGAATTTTCTAACATAGACATAGTAATGATGAGTTTAATCCCTGGGCAAGGTAATTCAGATTTACACTCAGTAGAAATAAGGCGTGAAATAGCTTAGCAACACTAAATATTAAGACCCGGATATTCCTAAACGTGGAGGGCAGAACGAGAACAATCTAACCCCGTAGATTAAATAAAGAGTTCAGTTCGAAATTCCCTGAAGGTTATCCGGATCGACAAGAACTCGAAGAAGGTTGGAGAACACAATGGCCTAACGTTGTGATAAATTCTCATCGCAGAAATTCAAACAAATTCAACTTTTGATTACATTTTTTGCTACTTCTGCATTTGGTTTGTCAATTGAAGTCAGATTTTGAAATCAGTCAGTTTTTTATAACGTATAGTTTAGTTCATGTTCCCTGTTTGAATTAAATGAAGTAGCAATGAAAATAAAAAATACCCCTTAATAATATAGTTACTTCTCTATGTACTTTTAAAGCACTCTTTTTAAGAAATCAGACTAAACTAAGATATTCTACGATCCCTTTTGGTGCTATATTTATTCCTGTTTTTACATAAGTATTATTAACAGTAACAGTGTTGATTTTATTTTACTTTTTATTAGATGGGGCATTTTAAATCGTTATTATTATTTTTTACTTTTATCTTAAATTCTTAGCTGCTTTTGGTCGCAAATTTTACTCAGGCCTTCACTGATAACGTAGTGAGTGAATATCACAGATCGGAAGTAAAGAATAAAAATTCGGGTGAAACTCAAAATCGCGTCCATTTTGTTTCAGTTGCAATTTACAAGAGGTAACAATGCTTGATCTAATAAAAAATAAAATAAAATAATGCTGATGTTGCTTTTCACTTTTTCGTAATACTGATTGAGAATTATTTTCTTTTTCGATCAAGTTTAAACAAATTTTATTTGATACATGAACTTTTTAGGATGTTTGAAAACCCTATTCCACAAAGAAATATTTCTGGTTGAGAATTTTGCCTTTTTCCCATCAATGAATAATTTTGTAAACAATTTTTTCCCAACTCTGATTGCCCATGTCATGGTGTATGGCTATTCATCAACTTGACGTAATTCCCCGAAAGGGAATTTTCTGCTCGTAATAGCGAACTCTACAAAAATGTAATGTTTAACCTATGGGAAATTAATTTTGGCTCAAATCCTTGTGGTGTCCCGTGTCAATTATTACGCATAATCAACTGCAGTAGAAAGTATTTAATCTTTTAATTTAATCTCTTTTTTATTGAGCAGGATCAACAAGGAACATGAAAAAATCTCCTCAGCACCAAAAATGCATGGTATAGAACCCTCGTCATGAAGCATGAGTTTTTTGATATCTTTTTCTCAGCTCGGAAAGTTTCCAAACTTTTTAAAAGCCTTGATTCGATGAATCCTACTGACCTGGATAAAATCCATGTGGTTGTCCTTAACCTTAGCCCAAGGCTATCTCCAATCTCGGCAAAGCTGTTTAACTGCTGCTTGAAAGAAAAATGTTTTCCAAGCCCATGGCAGGTATCAGCTGCATGCCCTGTCCACAATAATGCGGGTGATCTCTCGTCTCCGTTACAATATCGCCCTATTAGCTTCTTAAGAGTAATCAGTCAACTTTTTGATGCTATCATCAACAAAAATGTGTGCATCACCTCAGCAGAAACAATTTTCTTAGCGACAAACAGTATGGCTTTTGTTCCTCCGAGTCCAACTGATGTATTAATTAACATCCCGCATAGAATCTGTGAAACACTTGAGAATAAACATCTTCGATCCCTCAGCTACAGGTTAAATTGTAAATAGTAGACCGAGCTCTCTAGGCTTGGGTGCAAGAGA